ATTTACCACGATGTCATCAAATACATGAAAATTTATTTTATATTTTCCCCTTTTTTTTCCCCCCCGGTCCCCCCGGGTCCCTCACTCCTTTTCAATCCGAAGATTTCTTTTTTTTTTACTCCTTCTCTCTCTCTCCCCTTGTTAATAACTTCTTAATAAATCTTTTTTTTTTTTTTTTCGATTTTCTCTTATTCCTTATGTAATAGTTTTTTTTTTTTTGGTTTTTCTAAAGATTAAATCTTGGGGGGAGGAGGAAGGGATGAAACTCAATCGGCTTCTTTTTTTAAGAGAGAGAGAGAGAGAGAGAGAGAGAGAAACGGGGTAGGAAATATTTTGTACGATAAATTTTAAATCATTTAAAACTGATTTTTTCTTTTGGGGGTGGGGAAAGGAAAATTTTTTTTTTTTTTTTTTTTGTTTATTCGGTATTTTCCGGTAACGAACGGTTTTTCGTGTTGTGTGTGTGTGTGTTTTATGAATTCGATTTTTTTTGTGTTCCTGCGCCAAGATGAGGATGTGGTGTGTGCATGCCCGAAACATTGGCATCGAAGCGTGCGAATAAAACAGTTGAACCAAAAAAACAAAAGAGAGAGAAAGAGAGAGGGGAAGTGGGGAGAGAGAGAGAAAGGGAAGGTACTGAGGCTGAAAATTAATAATAAGATTCCCTGGAAGAAGAAGAAGAAAAAGAAGATGAAGATGGAAGAAGATGGGAAAAACAAAAGTTTTGATTTTCAATGCATAAAAATTTTCATTAGCATATTTTTTTTTTTTTTTTTTTTAATATTTTTTCACACGTTTAGAAAACATGGATAAGAAGATGGAAAAAATCGTTATGATAATTTTCGGACTGGAAAAAAAAAGAAGTTTACTCTCTCTCTCTCTCTCTCTCTTTTTCCTTTTCCAGTTAGAGCTACGAACGTTGTTTCGGTTTTTTTTTTTTTTTTTTTTTTTTTTTTTTGTAAAAAGAAAATTTTGTTTCAGCACGAAATAGAAAAATTCCCACTGAGTCATTTTTTAAGACGGGAGAGGGGGAAAATAAGGAAAGGAAATTTCTGGTAGATCATGTTTGGTGAATTGAATTTTCCGGAAAAGGGGAAAAATAATGCTCCATGTTACGATTTCAGTAATTCGATATTTCGGAAAAATGCATTTTTTTCCTTTTTTTTGCTCTCTTCTGAAAACTTTAAAATTTTTTTTTTTGTACGAGTTTAAAGTTATTTGTTAACGTTTGGTATTTTGTCGATAAAAAGCAGAAGAAAAAAAAAAATCGAATTTAAAAATTTTCTCGTTCGATTTATTTCTAGAAAGAATGGAAAGAAAAGAAAAAAGAAAAAAGTAAAAAGTTTTTTTTCCCTGCCAACTTTTCAATTCACTTATCATAATTTTCTTTTTTTTTTTTTTTTTTCGTTTTTCTTTTCTTTTCGTTTTCTTTTTCTTTCTCTCATTTTCAGTATTGGGCAAAACAATATAAATTATTCAAAAAACGTTTTCCAGTTAAAAAAAAAAAAAATTTTCTTTTTTTTTTTTTTTTTTTTTTATTAAAAAATTTTTCGTTCGGGTATATATATATATAAATGAAATTTTTTTACTGTTAAAATTTTCCTTTTTAACTACGAAAAAAAAAAAAGGAAGAAAAAAGAAAAAGGGGGGGGGGGGGGAAAATGGCGAGTTTTACTTTTTGTTTTTTATTTGCCTTTTTTAGAAAAGTTTTCATTTTTTTTTTCCAAGTAAATTTTGGGTAAAATTAAATTGTCATATAAATTTTACTACATCCTTTAATAGTTTGTCTGAAACGACCCGAAAAAACGAACAAACGGACGAACGAAAAGGACGAAAGAAGGATAAAATTTAATAATTTCCGGTTGTTATAATTTTTTTTTTTTGCAAGGTTTTCACTCCTTTTTTTTTATTTTTTTTTAATTTTAATTTTTTTTTTTTTTTTTTTTACACACGCACCCTTTCGATATTAAATTTTAATTGATTTATAATAAGCGAAGGGCATATTTTCCCGGGTAGAGAAAGGAAGGGAAGAGGGGAAATTGGAAAACATTTCAAATCCCGAATGGGAAAATGGAATGGAATGGAAAAATATGTTGCTTATTTTTTATCATAAATAAATTTCGTTTGACGAAACATATTCGAAAACGATTCTTCCTCCTCCTTTTTTTACAAAAAAAAAAAAAAAAAAAAAATTTAAATCCTCAGGTGCTTAATAATGCCGTCCACGGTTGAATCGCATGGGTTCAACCGTTTATCACGTTTTCGGCTACATCGAAACCGGAAATTCTATTCCGTTTCTGCCCCTTCCCCCGACCCGTCTCCTCCACCCCCACCGCTCCCTCTCACCCGAAGGGCCTTTTATACCTTTTGGAATATTCGAACGAATTTCGAGTTTTTGAGTTTTATTTTCGAATATTTAAATAATAGTTTTTTTCGGTAAATCTTTGGTCGAGAAAACTCGCTTGCGTGGTTCGGCCGGGGGTGAAATTTGGGGGGGAGGGGGAGGAAAAAAGGTGAGAATGAAGGAAGAATGAATAAGAAAATAAATAAAAAATTTAATTTTTGTCGTGGACTGTTAGTCACTCGAAAGGAAAGAAAGTTCGAATCGAATTTTGTCGTGTCGTAAAATTTATTTAATGCACGAAAACAAACGGAAACAAGTCGAAACAAGTCAACATTTGTTTTTTGTTTTCCGTTGTAAGGTTTTTTTTTTTTTTTTTTTTTTTTTTTTTTTATTGCTTGGCGACCGTTGAAAACGTCATCATTATC